CAGCCCGTTGGCCATACCTCGCGTGAACACGCCGATGTGACCGCGAAACAAACCGCGCTCCTCGAGCGTCTCCTTGAGCCACATCATCTGGCGCGTCTTCCCGACGCCAGCCTCGCCCTCGAGGATCACGATCCTGCCGTGGCCATCCCGGGCGACCGTCTCGGCCACAGAGATGAGCTCCTCGCATTCTGGCGCGCGGCCAACAAATGGGGTCGCGCGCAGCGAGCGCAAGGAAGGATCGACCTCGCTCTCGGAGTTGGCGAGCGCGAGCCCTTCCTCCTGATACCTTGGCAGCGAGCGCACCGTGGCGTGTTCGCTGCGCGCAGCGGCGGCGACTGCTTCCATATCCACGACCTCGGTCGATGCCTCGTGCAAGGCATCGGGGATCGCAGATTGTCGCGTCTCGGGAGGATGAGCGTAGAGATCATCCTTGAGGACGAGCACGCGCAAGGGCTCGAGCGCGGCGCGCATCCTCGCGGCGGAGTCCCAGCGCGCCGAGGGGCGCTTTTGCAACGCGCGCATCAACACGGCTTCGAGGTCGCCTGGGATCGAGAGCCCGGCGCGAGGTTGTAATCCAGGAATGGGACGCGAGACATGATCAGACATGACCTTGGCGGCGTCCTCGGACTCGAAGGGGTGCGCGCCCGCGAGCAATTCGTACAGGATCAACCCGAGCGAGTAGAGGTCTGTACGCGGGCTAAGGTGGCGCTCACCGCTCGCTTGCTCGGGGCTCATGTAAAGCGGTGTTCCGACGACCTGATCTTGACCGGTCTCACGGACATCCTGGCGCTCGTCGCGCAGGGTCGCGATGCCAAAGTCCACGAGCTTCGGTTCGCCGGCGTGCTCGGGGAGCGCCATGCCAGCCATCAAGACATTCTCGGGCTTTAAATCACGGTGCACCACGCCGCGAGCGTGCGCGTGCGCGAGCGCTTCGAGCAACTGACAGGCGAGCAAGACCACCTGGCGCGTGCTCATGCCAATGTGGACGGCTTCGATCAGCTGGCGCCCCTGTACATACTCCATGGCGAGGAACATGCGGCCGTTCGCCTCGGCGCCGAAGTCGAACACCGAACAAATATGCTCGTGGTTCAGGCGCGCTGCGGCGCGCGCCTCGCGCGCGAAGCGGCGACGCAGGTGAGGAAGCGACGAGTACTCCTCGCGCAACAGCTTCAGCGCGACCGTGCGTCCGAGCGGCACCTGTCGGGCACGCCAGACGGTTCCCATCCCGCCGCGCCCGAGCATGCTCTCCAGCACGAAGCGCCCATCGATGATGTCACCGGGGTTCAACGCTCTCACTCCTCACAAATCCGCGACCAGCTCCTGCCCATGCCACACCGGCAAGGAGCACGGCGAGGTAGTGCAATCGGGGGTGTCATGTCAAGAGTTGGAGCGATCGTATGCTCGATGTCAAGGCAGCTCTGAGAGCTTGGTCAGATTCAGACCGCCTGTGTAAGCGTAGGAGACGTAGTCATCGTATCCATAAACAACGATGCCGAATGGCACCTGAGCTTCGAGCCTGTGAGGACCTTCCTCGAGCGGGATGTGCGCGCGCACGATCCCTTCATCGAGGTTCTCCTCGTAGTCGAACTGCGTCAGGTCGAGCATCTCGCCATTGAGCGCGACGCCAAAGCCTGGCTGGATCGAGACCGTGACGTAGTTCTGGAAGTACGTCTTGGGGGTGAGGATCGAATACGAGGTGCGGTATTGCTCTTCGGGGGGGATGAAGAAGAAGGCAGGATCACCCGCCCGATCTCCAGGGGAGGCGTCCTCGCGCACAGAATCCTGACCTGAGATAAACGCGCCGATCGAGATCGGGTGGTTCGACTGCGCCACGAAGAGCTTGCGCGTGCCGAACTCGCACGTCTCGCCAGCGTTCAGCTCGATCAGGCCAGACTCGGGGTCCGAGCTGTAATCGGCGCACGAAGGGACGCCCTCGTCAGCGGGACGGAGCGTCCCTCCAGGTTTGTGCGCGATGTCGATGCCAGTGAGGACGCGCGTGTCATCCTGTCTGGCGACGAACTTGAAGTAGGTCGCCTCGCGCGTGTTTTGCTGCGCGGCCATCTCATTGCGCAGCTTGAGCGGCGTGAGCACGAAGCGTCGTCCCCAGGTCTCGAGCGGGAAGAGCTGGGATTCGATGTGATCGCAAAAGCCCAGCGTGTAGGGCACATAGGCGCACGAGTGGCCGGAGAACACCGCGACCGGCGCGGTCGCAGAGATCCTCGTTCCGGTGAGATCCTCGACAGGCGCGGCGCCCGTGCCGCCGAGGTTCAGGACCTCGAAGGGTTGCAACGTGGCGCGAATCACACCCTGCTCGTCCGGGCCAACAAGACGCGCATCACTGCTGGCATAGATCAACTCGGAGTAAGGGCGGTTCTCCCCCTTGGGAGGACGCAGGTTGATGGTCACTTCGGTGTCAGGCTCGGTGGCCACGACCGTGAGCGTCGCGCTCCATGGGTCTTCCAGACGCGCACCCGTCGACCCGGCGAACACGGCATACCCGAGGAACATGTAATCCTGAGTCAGCGCGCTCTCCGGGAGCAGCAGCGAGGCGTCGTTGGTCGTGTTGTAATTGCAGCACAGCGGGTTGAACTGATAGGCCACGATCGGCTGCGTGGACTCGACCTTGTAGCCAAACTTCCCGATGGTGCTCTGCCCGAAGGGGATGCGCTTGTGCGGCATGATGAGCGTCATCAGCGCGCCTCTGGGCAGCACGAGGCGATCCACGGGACCATCGAGGCGCTGGAGCACGTTGCCTTGCGCGTCGACGACCTCTGAATACACCGTCTCGTAGATCACCTCGGGGTCTGGCCTGTCCAGACCGACCACGCGCTCACCGACGGCTTCCGCGATCACGCCCGAGTCATCATAGACCGTGATCTGTGCGTCGTAGGTGTCAGACGTATTGGCCAACACGATGCCAAACGGAGGCATCAGGTCATCGTCGATCTCGTTGTCGTAGAGCAGGTGATTCTCGAGCTCGACGGCCCAATACTCGCACCCGATGTAGGACTTGTTCCTGCGCGCGAGCTCGCAGCGATCGAGGCAAAACCCTTCCTCGCAACGCGCGCCGCCCTGGCACTCTTCCTGATCCACGTAGCCATCGCCCATCTCGTCGCACTCTTGCGGGATATCGCCCGAGCAGCGGCGCGCGCCAGGGATGCAGTTGACGGCGACGCAGGAGCCGCCGCGACAGACCTGGTTGGCAGGACATGAGCCAGGATCGGTGCCCGTTCCATCAGCGTTGCAGATATCGACCGCTGGTGAGTTCTCCTCGCGGCAATCCACGACCTCGCCCGGTTCGCAGATCTTCGGGAGATCCGGCGTCATATCTTCCTCATCGGGAAGATCGGGCGTCGTCTCGGGCATATCCTCGGGCGCGGGCGTCATATCTGCGTCCGAGGTCATGTCCGCGCGCCCCATGTCTTCGGTCGTGGTCGTGTTTTGACAACCTCCGCAGGCCGACATGGCGATAAGGCTTATGAGTTGGATGGCAACGAACAGGCGCGAGACAACGCGCGTGGGGTCGAGAGAAAGCGTATGCATTGAAGTTCGCTCGATGGAAAAAGAACACAAGAAAACCCGCGTGCGGGAGTCTCAATGTCCAACAAAAACGAGCAGGACGCAAACAGGGCGGATTCGCGAGTGCGAATCCGCCCTGTTTGCGTCCTGCTATAAAGAGATCTTCAGACGATTTTAGCCAGCTTCAGGCGTGGCGCTCTTATCGGGCGTGGCGGGAGCAGCAGGTGCGCCATCACCAGTCCAGGGCTTCTCATCCTTTGCCGCCGCGCCGCACGGGTGGCTCGAGCCCGAGTGCCAGACGCGAAAGTTCTCGAAGGCGTCGTGGATGGTGAGGATGGCCGCGTCGCGCTTTTCTTCTGGCGTGCGTGTGTCGGTCTCTTCCTTCGCGCCGACGATCTTACCCTTGCGCGGGTTCTTCTTTTTGATCGGCACGTACTCCTCGCCCTTTGCCTCGGCGTCGATGCGCTTGAGCTGCTCCTCGGCGCGCACGTCGAGCAAGCGGAACTCGGTGTCGACGTGCTTGAACCACTTCTTGAGATCCTCGCGCGAGTCCTCGTAGCGCAGCTCGGCGGCGAGCGAGGCGATCCTCATCTTCTCGAGCTCGTCGCGGAGGGATTTGATCTTGGCGCGAGATGCCTCGACAGTGGCCTTATCCTTTGATGTGACGGCTTCGAGGGCCTCGGCGTGCTCGCTCTTGTAGCGCTTGCCAAAATCAGTGACGTCAGCGATCAGGCCGCGGCATTGAGGATCATTGGAGTCCTGGATCGCGTCCTGCTCGGCCTGTTGAACATCGAGCTTGAGCTTTGCCTTATCGCCCATGGCCATGATGCCAGCGACGGCGCCTCCGACGAGGACGAGCACGGCGACGAGGCCAATGGCGACCTTCTTTCGCCGCTCGGCTTCGTAGCGCGCGATGACGCCGACCTCCGAGATCTCTTTCTCGTCAGGTTTATTCTCAGATGTCTGCTCTTCGGTCGTCATAGTCTTCCTCACGATCCCTTGTGCAAAGAGAGGTATATTCGAAGGGATGGCACAACGAAGCGCCGAGTTCAAGAGGGCGTCGACATCCCCCGTGTGATTCACGCGGACCCAGCGCACCAGTTGTCAAGGTCTTTCTCGCGTGGTATGTGCGCTAACTCACCGAGGTAAGGTTTTTTCAGACCTACCACTCGAAATATCTCGAGCCACTGTGAAACCACGAAAGCTCCTCGGAAGGAACAACTCAAGGGCGTCAACCATTCTCATCGATGCGTTGGGCACACCCATGAAGGCCACCTGCTTCATAAGTTAGGAGCCTCGGAACGCCGAGAAGTTCCCATAAAGATTCTTCAACCCCACGGGATCGCCCTCGCCACGTTGAAAAACAAGGCGATGGCGAGTCCGCGTTCGAGATTGCCAAGCCGGAGAACGCGTTGGATACATCGACCTTCCTCAAGAAACACCTGGACGCCTCGGAAGAGGAAATTCCGCGCCTGACCGATATGGCCATGGGCGCGCTGACCGAAGGGACAGACTTCCCTGTAGGCGCCAACGCCGAAGAGCGGCTCTGGCGTTACTTGCAGTACCCCTACTACCTCGGGCTGTTCGCGCAGCGCGTGGTTCGTGCGCACGGCATCTCCAAGCACGTCAAGGAGAAGCTCTGCCACGCCGTCCTCCAGATCAACATGCACCTCGATCAAGGTCAGGAGCCCGGCCCGGGCCTCTTCTCGCTCTCTGCTTGGCTGAGCGAGCACAAGTGCCTGACCCGTGAGGACTACCTCGGGCTGCGACGCGGGCTGATCTGGCTCCCTCGCCTGACGGACTCCTACATCGAGGATCTCGAAGTGGTGCTCCCGGCGTGTGAAGGGATCTTCCGCGACACGCGCATCCAGCGCGACGAGTCGATCGAGCTGATCCTGATGATCCTGACGGCCAAGGAAGCGATCGGCGCGCAAGGCCGTGACATCTTCGATCACCTGATGGGCCTGAACACGCTCAACCGCAGCCTCAAGCGTGAGGTTTGCCAGATCGTCGTGCACAACCCGATCCCCTTCCCTCGCGGCGAGTTCGAGCACCCGCTCGAGACGAGCGCCCAGGAGCAGGATCGCCTCAGCATTCGATTCTTGCCTGGCAACGTGCGCCGTCGCGCCGTGATCTGGCTCTCGAGGCTCGGGCGCGATCCGGACGAGCTGCTCAAGCGCCTGCTCAAGCCCAACACCGTGCGTGGTTATGGCGGCGATCAGGTCGCCTCCGGCGCCCTCGATCTGTTGGATGAGAAGTGGGATGACATCGACGAGGATGGACGCCTCGCGCTCCTGCGCAAGGCCGCAGACCTCCCGGATACCGCGGTGCGTAAGCGCGCCTACATCCTCGGTGAGAAGTACCTCGGGCTCGAGTTCCTCAAGCAATCACTCGATGACAAGGCCAAGAGCCTTCGCGAGTGGGCCAGAGAGCGCCTCGACAGGCGTGAGGCTGGCGAGATCCCGACCGCCGAGGAGCTCAAGGCGGAGCTCGCCGAAGACCTCGACGACGACGGCGAAGATTGAACCCGATGCCCTCTCCTGCAGAACAGTGGCAAGTCCGCGTCGACCGACGCAAGATCGCGCTCGAGCTCGTCCAACACGAGCTCGAGGCGCTGGTAGCCGGTGTTCAAGGGGTATCACTCGAGCTCGCTGAAGAGCGATCCTTTGAAGCTGATGATGCTTTGTGTTACTGTCGCCACCATCAGCTGCGCCGCGAGCGCCCCGCTCGAATACATCGCCGAGGAGCTCCTCGAACACTTCGGCTGGGCGATCGATTTCAAGCCGCTCTCCTGAAACATCCAGACATTGACGATCGAAATCGCGCCTCACACGATCGATCAAACACTGAACAAATCAACAGCAACACTGTATAGTCATGACATCGACGTTCCCTTGATGTGAGAGAGGAAGAAGATGTCATCCCACTACCATGCCCATGTTCTGGCCCTCCAAGGGCAAACCGATCAATCCGATGTCGAGTTGGAGTTTGACCCGAGGCTCTCGCAAGACGAGCTTCGCTGGGAGCACTACACGCGCCGAGGACCGGTCGACATCGAAGACTTGCGCGATGACGCGCGCGAGCTGCTCGAAGCGCTCGAGATCGCCTACGACACCAACGTGCCCGAGATCATCGAACAGGTGAGGCAAGAGTTTGCCATGGCGCTGTTCGCCGATCCGACCCTCGAGCTGCTCGTCTTCGAGCAGCTCGAGGGTTGATACCAAATTCGGATAAATCACTTCATTCAACCGGCGCGAAGGGCGCCTGAATTGCCTCGATTTATCCGAGTTTGGTATGAGTCATCTGCTTCAGGAGTCTGCGCTGGCGATATCGACGAACTCGAAGGTCTCGCCAGCGTAATTCTGGAAGGTCACGGTGCGACCGTGAGGTCCCTGCACATCCGAAACAATGGAGTCAGGGACGAGCTCGATCTTGCCGCCACCGCCGGGCAAATCGACCACGAAGTCAGGTACACCCATCCCGCCGATGCGGCCTCGCAGGTGCGCCATGATCTCCAGGCCGCGCTCGAGCGGGGTGCGAAAGTGCGTGATCCCTTCCGCCATGTCGCACTGGAGGATGTAATAGGGCCTGCATCCTTGCTCGAGCAGTTCGCGGTTAAGGCGCATGACAACCTCTGGAGAGTCATTGACGCCCGCGAGCAAGACCATCTGGTTCCCGAGCACACACCCGGCGTCGAGCAGATCGCGCAACGCACGCCTGGCCTCGAGGCCAAGCTCGTCCGGGTGGTTGAAGTGGGTGTGCAGATAAATGGGGCGAGCGTCGCGGAGCACGTCGCACAGCTCCGGGGTGATGCGTTGTGGGAGCGTCACCGGGTTGCGCGTCCCCACGCGAATCACCTCCACATGATCGATCTCGCGCAGCGCCGTGAGCAACTCACCGAGGCGCTCGTCGCTCAACGTCAACGGATCTCCTCCCGAGAGCAACACATCGCGCACCGTGGGCGTCTCGCGGATGTAGGCGAGCCCAGCCTCGAGCTGGGCTCGCGAGGCTGCGGTCGTGGGGTCGGAGACCTTGCGCTTTCGCGTGCAGTGACGGCAGTACACCGGGCAGTTATGGCTGGTGTAGAAGAGGACGCGATCAGGATAGCGATGCGTGATACCCGGCACGGGCATGTGTGATTCTTCTGCCAGCGGATCGCGAAGCTCGAAAGGTTGCGTCTCGAGCTCGCCAAGCTTCGGGACCGCCTGCGCGCGCACGGGACAATCGGGGTCCTCGGTGTTCATCATCGCGGCGTAGTGAGGCGTGATCGCGACGCGGAATCGCTCGGCGCCGAGCGTGATCGCGTCACGCTCCTCTTCGGTCAGCTCGAGGACTCCCTCGAAGTCTTCGAGGGTTCGGATGCGATTGCGTTGTTGCCAGTGCCAGTCTTGCCAACGAGACAGCGAGACATCCTCGAACTTGCGCGCTCGGCGCGCATAGCTCGACTCGTGTCGAAGCGATCCTGGAGGTCGTGGGGTCGTGTTCGCGTGGGTCATACCGACGCATCCTCGCGTAAGAGAAACCTCAGGCTCGCCAACAGCGGGAGCAGGCGCGCGCCGAGGTCATAAGATAGCATCAGCTCGCCGACGAGCTCACCGTGTGCGTCGTAGAGCTCGCCGTCGAGGTGTTCCAGCGCCTTGACGGGATGGCGTCCACCGAGGTGCTTCTCACCGGCGAAGCGATGCGCCATCCCATCATCAGCCCGAAATCCAAACTCGTAGGTCACCTTGCTCGAGAAGAGGTCGACCTCGATCGTTCCGAGGATCGTACCGGCGCGGACCAGCCCCTCGATAGCGATCGAACCGTCGAGGTGTCCTCGGTGCTTCAAGGTCATCGCCCGGAGTGAAGAGAACGACACGTCGAGCTCGAGCGCGGCCTTTCTAATGCCACCCGAAGCGAGGTGGAGGTTCCCCTCGAGCTCCTCGCCAAAGCCAACGCCAGCGGCATACTCCGAGAGCTCGAGCTCTGCCATCGTCTGCGTATCATAGCTCGGGAGCCAGCCCGCCTGCTGATACCAGCGCACGGCCTCGACGATGCCGACGCGCAGGTTCTCCCAGCGAGGCTCCCACCCCAACGCGCGGAGCGCGCTGGTATCGAGGATCATATCACCGCGCGTGTAAAGCAGCGCGTTGCGATCGACCCGAGGTCTCAATGGGCTGCGGATGTGGTGTCCGACCTGGACCTTCTTCCAGCGCTGACGCAGGACGCGACGTAAAGTATCGAAGAAGGGAGCGTTGTTGATCAGCGGCGCGAGCACGCCACGCGTGATGGTGACGGGAAACGGCAGCATCGGTCCGATCTCGAGCCCGATCGCCTCGGTGATCGTCGTGATCACCTCGCCGAAACCGAGCGGCGTCGCGTCCCCCACGTTATAGATCTGTCCTCGGGTTTGCTCCCGTCCGAGCACGAAGAGCACCGCGCGCGCGACATCCTCGGCGTGACACCAGGTCGAGCGAGGCCCCCCGGAGAGCCCTGGCAGATAAGAGACCACCTGCCTCAAGATCGGCGGCAGCGTCGCGAAGTTTGCCCCCATCGTCTTGCAGTAAGGACCGTAAACATGCCCGGGCCGCAAGATGGTCCACCCCTGGCCAAAAGATCCCTCCTCGAGGAGCTCCTCGGCGGCGCGCTTGGAGCGCTCGTAGGCGTTCTCGAGGATCACCTCGCTCGCTTCATCGAGCATCCCCGAGGCGGGTTTATAGAGCGCAGCGCAGCTCATGAGCACGACGTGTTCGACACCGACCTCGCGCGCGGCCTCGAACAGGCGCCGAGAGACCTCGACGTTATGCGCCTCGAAGTCCGCGATGCCCTCGGTCAGGCTGACCAGCGCCGCGCAATGCACGAGCGCGGAGCAACCTTGCAGGAGCCCAGAATGATCCTGGAGGTAAGCGAGGTTGATCTGATGCCACTCGACGCGCCCTCGGGTGCCATCGGCGGCGAGGTCTTCCCAGAGCGGCGTCTCGACAAGGGGGATGCGATCGATGGCAATAATCGAGAGCCCGGCAGCGGCGAGCAAGCGCACGACATGTCCACCGACTCCGCCCGAGGCGCCGGTCACGGCGACGCGAGCGCCCTGCTTTAGCGCAGGTTTCCAGGGGACGATTGGGAGAGAATCATTCATGACGGGATCGCACCAGATGAGCGAGGACGTTTGGCCCGCGAAGAGCGGCCGACATCATCGACGTGGCGCCTGGAAAATGCAAGGATTGCTCGCCAGGTCACCATTGGCTGAAATGCATGAGCGATAACGAGCAAAAAACAAAGCCGAAAGGCGCCGCGCAGAGCGGAGAGCACCGCCTCGAGGCGAACGCTCAGGAAGCCGCAGCGAGGAGCGGAGAGCATCGCCTCGAGATCGAGCACGAGCAGGATCGCGCGTCGGTCTCGATGGAGCTACCCGCCGTGGTCCTCGGGACAAACGTCGGGAAGTCACTCCAGGAAGTCCAACGCGTGCTCCCCGGGCGCATCCCGTCGAGCGTGCTCTTTTACCCCATCTACCTGTTGCTGGTGATCTCGGGGGGGATCGCGGGGAACGTGGCGCTCGACACCGAGGAGTGGTCCTTCTTCGTGGTCGCGCTGGCGTGGTTTCTCGCGTTCAGTTGGAACTGGCTCTACGTCATCGCCTGGGAGTACAGGCGCAGGCTGCTCAAGATGTTTAGCCTGCTCAACGCGAGCGTGATGCAGCTCGGGCTCGCCGCCCTGGCGATCGACCGAGGCGCGCCTCAGCGCGTGGCCAACCCTCGACGAGAGCTCGTCGAGCGCGGGCACATCGCCAGCCTCGACTGGGTCGCTGGCATCCTCACGGTGTGTGTCTTCTTATTGCTGCTTCACTTCTTCTGGTTCGGGCGTGGCTGGCGTACGAAGCAGGAGTCTGTGCAAAAGAAAGACGATCCAGATAACACCCTCGATGAAGACTGAACGCGCTTTTCCTCACAGCATCTCCCTCCCCCTATTTTCGCCCTGAATCCATTTCAGGTTGCGGATGCAACTGGATACCGTAAACTTGTACAAAACCAAAACAATCAAAAAACCCATATTCTACATAGCTCGACAAAACATCGACAAAGTCCTGCTCTTCTCATCGAGAAAGCGGTAAGACGGTACCAGTAAGCCCCCTTCGCGGAAGGTTATCGGTTGCCTTGCCAGAAGCCAGATACCAAGCGACGCCTCCACGCATGAAGCACGTTTATGTACAAGAACGCCGACCACTCGAATCCGCTGAACCTGCCGTTCGATAAAGCTCCTGCAGAGGGGTGTTTCGAAAAGCTGGCCGCCATCGCGAGGACCGCGCTGGGGGCACCGATGGCGATATTATCGCTTATCGACGCGGATGGTCGATGGACGCGTATAGGGGTCGGGGTCGAGCCATGCAGCGTCCCAGAGGCAAACTACAAAAACTCGTTCTGCGCTCATGTCGTCGCGCATGGCGAGACGCTGTTTGTCGAGGATACGTTGGCGGACAGTCGCTTCAATGAGAGCGCCCTCGTCACAGAAGCTCCGTATATTCGCAGTTACGCGGGCGCGCCGCTCCAGACGGAGAAGGGAAACTTCGGCACCCTCTGTGCGTTCTCCCACGAGGCCAGCGCGCTCAAAAAAGAGAACCTGACGACGTTGGAGATGCTCGCAGCGCTCGCGATGGAGACGCTCGCCGACCACGCGCGCTTTAAATTACACGAGCGCCGAAAAGACATCCTCAGGTTGACCGAAGAGTTGACCGGCGCTGGATACGGTTACTTCAACCTCTTCAATGACTCCTTCTTCGTCTCCGATCGCGTGCGCGAGCTCCAGGGCATCGGCCCCG